CGCAACCGGCCCCCAGGGCGGGTGGCGGCGGCGGCGGCGACTACGGGTTGGTGACGGCCGGCTGCGGCTTCGGCAAGGACTTCCGTAAGGGCCTCCTCAAGAAGGGCGCGTGCTACGGGGACGACGCGTGCTTCGTGGCCCGACACCGCTCCGCCGATGTGCTCGGTGAGTCCCCGGCCCGGGTCCCGCCACCCCAGCCCCGGATCCGCCTCCTGGGGACTCCCCTGCGCGGGACTTCCCCACCTCCGGGCGGCTAGAGGAGCCCGAGCGCTCACATGCAGGGAGCGCTTACTATGTGCCAGGCGCTGTGCCAAGCGCTCCGAGGCGCGTTTTCTGCTTACACAGCCCCCATTTTAGAGATGAGGAAACTGAGGCGCTGAGCGGATCGGGCCATGTGTTCAAGGTCACAGCCCGACAATATGACCGGTCTGTCCGAGTCCAGAGCCGCACTCTTAGTCACTTAGCTGTGCGACCTGGTGTCCTCCCTCGGCGATCCCTGCAGGTGCCTAACCTCGTTCTGGTTTCCTCCCTCCCTCCTCCCTCTGCGTGCCCCGGGGATCCCTGCTTCTTAGCGTGCTCCTCACGCCTCAACCCTGCCGCGAGCTGCGCGGTCAGATAGCCTGGCGGTGTTCTTTCACCGTCTCGATCGTGACCAGTCGAGTCTCGTAGTGGGGGCTGCAGCCCTGGTGGAAAAACTCTCGCAGCGCATTCTCCCAAATTGATGTTGTCCACTGGAGATCACTTGGGGTGGCAGAGTCTCCTTGACCCGAAATAGCATGGTCGAACTTGCTTGTAGACTGCAGCCAAGAAAGCTTGAGAATTGGTCAAAGCCTTTTCAGGCCACAGGTGCTTCCCAAGGCCTAATCCAGTTACACGTTTGGGGGTGGGAGTCTAGGGAGAAAGGTTCCTGATAGGGCGAAATACATGAAAAAGAATCAGATTTTACTGTCTGCTATAGACTTGTGTGCCATTGAAGCTCTTTTAATGCAAGCACTTCCTTTGAAATTGAAGGACATGTTGTCATTGAATTTGAGTTCAAATGTCACTGTAGTTTCACTTCTCAGGTGAGGCTGAGTGTTTGGTTACTACTTTACATTTAATATGCTGAAGCAAAGTTTGGCATTGGAACAAATGGTTCTGTAAGTTTTTTATGACAGTAATTATATATATATTTTTTTTTTTGGAGAGATTTTTGCTATAGGGCGCGTGCGCTCGCCAGACAGAGAGAGACATAGAGACAGAAAGCGAGAAATCACCCCCTGGGGGGATGGCCACACCGCAATCCCTTCTCCTCCATTCTCCTCTCGGGATCTTGGGCACTCACGCACACGCGCCCGGCGTGAGTTTTAAGCCACCGGGTCCAGGACGAGAACCACGATCGACTACGTGGGAGTCCAGCGACATGGCCATTACGCTAACTGCTGGTTCCCAGTAATTATATTTTTTTAAGAAAGATTTTTGTATAGGGCATATGTACTCACCAGAAAGAGAGAGAAAGCGAGAAGTCATCCCTCAGGGGAGATGGCCACCTCCAGTACCTTCATTCTCCTCCTGGGATTTCAAGTACACATGGACATGGGCCTAGAGTGAGCCTCTGATTCTGGGACTCGAACCACGGTCAGCCATGTGAGAGTCCAGTGCCCTAGCCACCATGCCACTGTCGCTGGCCTTGTTGGTAATTATTTTTTAAAACGATCTCAGAAAAATTACCTGATATCTTTGGTCCCACTACATGTAGTGTTTATTAACATGGAACTGGAAAGGTTGTTCTCAGTTTAATTCATAAGTGACTTCATTACTGGGTTAAAAAAAGTTGTTCAGTCAGGACCAGCAGATGGCGTAATGCTACGTTGCTGGACTCCCATGTACTCGACCACAGTTTGAGTCCCAGACCCAGTGGCTTAAACTCATGCTGTGTGTGTGTGTGTGTGTGTGTGTGTGTGTGTGTGTGTGTGCCCAAGATCCCGAGAGGAGAATGGAGGAGAAGGGATTGCAGTGTGGCCATTCCCGCTGGGGGGTGATTTCTTGCTTTCTGTCTCTGTGTCTCTCTGTCTTTTTGGCGAGCGCTCGTGCCCTATACCAAAAACCTCTCAAAAAAATTGTTCAGTGTTTACCCATTGATGTTAAACAGAGAAAGAGAGAGATGGGCAGACAGGGAAACACAGACTTCCTTAGAAGGTTGGGGAGTTTGCAGATTGAAATTCTCTGAAGTCAGCTTGAACAACTCAGTATCTTTTTTTAAGGGGCTGTCAGTAGCTATCTTTTCCCATTACATTTATAAGCACCTCAGTCAGTGAACTTGTGACCAGTGCTTTTTTTTTTTAATTATTTATTTTATTTCATTCATTTGTTTATTTTTTTTTTTTTGGTTAGACCAGAGAGAGACAGAGGGTGAGAATGAGAGAAAGAGGAAGTGAGAAAGCAAGCCACCAGATTAAGGACTCGAACCCTAGTCGGCCATGTGGGAGTGTCCAGCACCTTAACCACCATGCCACCTGCTGGTCCCGTGACCAGTGGTTTTTTTTAAGTTAGTCATAATACAATACAGGCTAGGGATAATGATCCACTAAGGCTCACCTTATAAATCTGTGATATGCTGGCTTTCATAAAAGATCATGATTTGATTGATTATTTGAGGGCTATTTGAATTACCAAATTTCTTTGCTGAAGCTTGATTTAAAAATTTTAGAAGGTTGGTGCCAGCAGATTGCATGATATTTAAAGTGCTGGACTCCATGTCCGACTGCAGTTTGAGTTGGACTTGGTGGCTTGAAAATCACACTGGGTATGTATGGGTGTGTTCCCAAGATCCCAAGAGAATAGAGAAGAAGGGATTGCAGTGTGGCCATCCCTGCTATGGAGCGATTTCTTACTTTACCTCTTTCTATCTGTATCTCTGGCAAGTACTCTCATCCTATGGCAAAAACCTAAAAAAAAAAAAAAAAAAAAAAAGAAGGCTGCCCTCTTAGTGCAGTGAGATATTTACAAAGAAATGGGACATTTTGATCAAATTCACTCTGAAAGTACAAACATAATTTCATGCTCTGACATCATGGCAGAAACCTGGCCTAATTTGATGCTCAGCTTTGCCACATAGTAGCTTTGTGATTTGTGGTCTTGGGCGGAGCCTCTCTTGAATTCTCCTTTTCATTATCTAGACTAGAGGGTGAAGGGAATGTACCACTTGACCCTTAAGGACTACAGCTTCTGATCATCAGATCATATTTTCCTTTTGATTTGAAAAGAAGGCAAACTTTCTTATTTCACACCTCAAATGACAAGCATTACTTCCTATCACATTCACATGGGCTCCTTTGGTAGATTTATTTTGTTATCTAGCACTAAACCAGTGGTTCTTAGTTTTCCTTGGTTCACAGCCTCTGAGGATCTTTAATTCTCCCGAGGGCGCTCTCCCCAGAACAATGTGCACAGAGATAACATTTTGCATTGGTTTTAGGGGACTTCCCTGACTCCATGAAGTCCATCCATGCACCTACCACCTGAAGATAATCAGATAATCACTGGCTCTAGGGCCAGTGGACGGAGTGGAAATTAAGGGGCTAGATCACACATGGCCCTTGACATAATTCAAGTCCCTGACCCAGAGGCATGAAAATCATACCAGGTGCATATGAGTAGGTGCCCAAAACCCCAAGGGAAGATTGGAAAAGGAATTGCAGTGTGGCCATCTCCCCTGAAGTCTGATTTCTTACTTTCTCTCTCTGGCAAGTGCAAGTGCCCTATAATCAAAAGAAAAGGAAAAGAAAATAATTCCCACTCTATACTTTTCCTGAAAGGAATGCCACTGGGCACCACCAGGCAACTGGTTGCTTATGTGACTAAGGAGTCAGCCATATTTGACAAAGATTGTGCACATACATGCACATATGCAAATGGAGGGGATAGGAATAGCGAGAGAAAGGTTCTCCGGAACTGTCCAATTGTGGAGTAGCTCTTCTGGAAAGCATTCTTGGGGTCTTCTTGAAACAACTTCACAAATTAACCTCATTTTACCTTTGGCTGCATATGAACCAGTCATATGATAGTGACTTTTATTTTATTGACACCATCTCATCGCAGGCTGGTTGGTTATTCTCTTGCTGTGGAAAATATGACAAGTCTCAGTGAGTCTTTAATATTCCTTTCTACTCTATAAGTGGGAGTTATAAACTAAAATGCATTAAAAAACTGTTGAATAATAATAAAGTTATGTTGTACCTCAGTGCTCTTGACCCTTCTAATTCTATAGATAATTCATATTCTTTGGAGTCATACCTTATTTGTTGCCAAGTTTCTGTGCAGCACAAATTACTCACTGTGGTCATCTAGGACTCCTTGACTGGAATGGAAACTATTTATTGCTTTTTGTATGAGAAAGAAAAAGCCGTTTTGTTTTTTAACTTAGAATTGATCGGTCTTATTAGTCATGCCACTGCAAGTACTTGGTGCTTCACATATTTGTATTATCCCCAATAGATTTCTTTTAGGAAAAACCAACTATGTTGGGTGTGGTAAGACATAGGAACCACTCCTATCCCCTGGAAAATTGGCAAAGGTCCTTTCTCTTTATTAGGTCTAACAGGAGTAAACCAGTACCAGCAGGAGCTATGTACACTTGTCTTGTTCCTTCTTCCCTGTAGCTAATCCTGAGTTCTCTTATTACTCTGTATGGCATGACTTCCTAGGTGCACAAAAATAGGAGAGCTGCCTAGTGTAATTGCTGAGCTTCCCATAGCCCTAAGCTATTAACAATAGAATCAAAGGCTGTTGAAAATTGCCAGACTTAGTAACCTTGAAGTCTAGTTCTTTCATTGTACTGATGAGAAAATAGAGGCCTGCTGATGGTCAAATGACTTACCTGTGGTTTTTCCACTAGTTATGGAAGAACTGGCCCTAGCACCTAGGCTCCCCATCCCAGTCGTCTTTCTTTTACACCAGTGGCTTAGCTTTCTTTCTTTTTAAAGAATTATTTTATTTAACTATTTATTTACTTATTTATCCATTCATTGATTTCTAACTTGACCAGAGAGGGACAGTGCAAGAGAGCGAGAGAAAGAGAGGGAAAGTGAGAAAGCAAGCAGCCAGATCTGGGACTTGAACCATCATTAGCCTTGTAGGAGTCCAGCATCCTTAGCCACCATGCCACCTGCCAGCCCCATGGTCTA